AAATAAATAAATTTATTTTAAAAAAAAAGATTAACTCTTTCTAACAACAGCTTGTATTTTGGGAACTAAATTGCAAACATTTTTGATGGTCGTGCTTGGGTATATTAGCTCCTCCTCTCTCACCTCTGCTCCCATTATCCCCCTTATTACCTGACCTTTCATGGTACCTGGTGCACAAACACAAAAACATGCACATATTATAATATCATATATTTTACCAAATGAATGAATGCACAATCTAAGAATTCAATATATTAAAGTTGAGGGCAACCAACACCTTAGAGTCTTGGATTACTTGGACCATAATTAATTCAAAGATTCTTCCAGGAATATTAGCTGTCCATCTTGTCTAAAATATCACTGCAGGGCTTCCCTGGTGGCACAGTGGTTAAGAATCCGCCTGCCAATGCAGGGGACACGGGTTCGATCCCTGGCCCTGGAAGATGTCACATGCCACGGAGCAACTAAGCCCATGCGCCACAACTGCTGAGCCTGCGCTCTACAGACTGCGAGCCACAACTACTGAGCCCGCATGCCTAGAGCCCATGCTCCACAACAAGAGAAGCCACAACACTGAGAAGCCCGCACACCGCAAGGAAGAGTAGCCCCTGCTCACCGCAACTAGAGAAAGCCCGTGCACAGCAACGAAGACCCAACACAGCCAAAAATAAAAATAAATTAATTAATTAAAAAAAAAATCATTGCAGTGATGCACATTTTTGTCCAATAAGCCGAAGTAAGGAAGAAGTGTGTGGTAGGAATATCTACTTCAGCAGAATATTCACAGCCAAAAATGTTCTGGGTAACACATATGAATTAATTACCAGAAAAGCTAAATTTTTCTTCAACACAGTAAAGTCAAGTATATTTTGAAAGGTGTTGCTAACTCTCTTGGATGCTAGACAAAAGAGCAAAGGGATCACTCTATCAAACAGCAACCTCCTGCTTGTGAGAAAAACAAAAGAAAAACAAAAACCTCCTCAGAATCAATGAAGTGATCCATGGGACACCAGGCAGATGCCATCAGCCTCTCTCACAGGATTCACTATTGTTAATACACACTGCAAGCAAAATGTGAGGCCCTGGTCCTTGTAATGATTTCTACTCCAAGAGATCAACCATTAAAGCACATGGAGGACCCTCTCAGTTCAAGTTTCAAAACCTCTGAGCTCATGGAACTGCTCTGGGCTAAGGGCCATGCAGAGTTGATTCCATCAGTAATTCCTCTTTGACTCCGACCAGAGATTTGGTTCCATTGTTTGGTGCCTCTGCTGTGTGCCTCACCCTACAAGAAAAAGGGTATTCAAATTCCCTCCAAAAGCCCCCACTCCTTTTAGAAGTTTAGTATGTGTGTGAAAGTGCCTCAGAAAGAGAAACATTATAAATTTAAGATACAATTATTCTCCTCATAGAACGGCATTGGGCTACCTCAATTATAAACCACACTTTTAAAATCTGTTAACATTTCCTTCTGGGAAAGCCCCTTTGCCCTTTAATAGTAAAAGCTAATCAAGGCAGTATAATTTCTGGAGCTCAAATTTGTGGGAGGAGAACGGCTGGCACTGGTGTGCTCATTCCTATGATGGTTTTCTCCTTCCTCTATGTCCTGAAATTATTGAGAGGCTCTAAGCTAATTCTTGAAAGTATGCAGAGGTACTTAGGAAAGCCAGGAGCAGAGATGGAAACCTGAGCATTGCACTGACATCATTCTGTGTTTGGCACATACGGTACATCTCTAAAGCAATACCAACTGAACACACTGCTTCATTCTGAACTCTTGCTGGCTTTAAGTAGCAGTCTTAATTACAAGCAGGCTTGCTTTTTATCATTTACAGTCACACAGTTCTCCATGTACTTGACTAGGAAAATTCAATTTTTCTATAGAGGTATTTTCAACCTTTATATTTTTAAGTACATGCAAAATAAAATGGGATCCTGCAGTGATCTCAGAACCTGCTTCTCATATGCATTTAAAAAAAATCCTCATCATAATCTCTGCAACTGGGTCAGCTTGCACAAAGATGCTCAGGGTAGCCATGAGTGCTTTCAGCACCCTGCAATCCTTGTAAGTGACACCTCATAATAGTGCAAATGAAGCATGGCATGATGAGAAAATGAAGAAGAATGGACCTGGATAGTCAACCCAGCAGTTTTCAAAACACAGAGGATAAGCTAAATTTTGTTCCATAAAATACACCACACATGATTTTTCTTTTACACATTCAAGCACATATATTCTTTCCCTATTATGAGAAAAATGTCTTATGACTCCAAGAAATCCTACTATAAGCAAACAGGGTAGCTCGTGTGTTCATCTACATATGTATATTTGCCATAGTCTCCCATTTTTAACCAAACCTCATTTACACCTGCCTTGATTTTCAGCCAGGAATTTATCATGTTGTCATTATTCACCTTTGTGTTTTCCCTTCACCCTCATCTATTAGGCTCAAAGATTATTTCCTTGTGGACCCTTTGTCTAATTAGCTGAATATTCAAGGAGTTTATTGACCCAACAAATTCACCATCACCTTTCTTATTAGGTTTCTTTTAAGCCATCACCCTGCTTGCCCCGCTCTCAGCCCCTCTGCATCCCCACCTCACTCCCATCTCTCCATCCCCCACCCTCAGAGGCTTATTTCATCTTTAATGTTCTTGGGTTGTTCTCTAGCCAGAGTTTTTTCCCTATTTTCAAGGGAGGCAAGAGATGAAGTGTGAAAAATTCACACTGGCTTTTATTCGGCGGAGGTTGGCTACTGACAGGTAAGTTTGTTACTCTGATTAAAAAAAAAAAAAAGCGGGGAGAAAGAATCAGAAAGCTTCCTCCAAAAGTGTGTGTGAGCAGGGTGGGGAGAGTTTCAAAAAGTAACAAACACGACCATACTATGGAACCTTCAAAGGAAAGAGAAAGTTTTCTGACCCAAAAGAATAATCACAACCGCTGCTCACATACCCTTTCCTCCACTATCCATCTATCCTTTCTCTTTCCCAGCGACAGATATGCCTGCTTCTTCATTCATGTACGGAGACAATCACTATATTCTGGAGGGAAGGAAATGTTTGTAGAGACCAGCAGACGGGGGCCTGACTGGGGTAGAAGCTACAGAGGTGAGAGGACAGGTGTCCTCTCTGCGGCAGGGTTCCCTTGGTCTTCTCCTCTCCCCACGTCCCCCAGACACTCTCCCTTTTCAGCCATATCCCTCGGGAGATAGGCAGAGCCACAGAAAAGGAGAAGTTAATATGCATATGAGATTAGCCAAGTGCTTCCCACTGGTATAATTAAGCGCCCAACCCCCTTGCATACCCCCATCTGGCTCACTGCACCCACGCTCTGTCTGCCCCTCATGTGTCCAGGCTCGCCTCCCTCCCCCAGAACTCACATAATTTTGCAAAAAGGCCAGGCAGTGGGGTGAGAACTGCACCCGGGAAAGGGAGCAATAAGCTCCCAGAATACTGTGAGCGAGTGGGGAGAGCAACAGCAACTCCTTGCTGTTTCCGAGGGATCTATCCTTTCTGTCACTTTTTCCATAAAAGCCCCCTTTGGAGGCTTCACTCATGTCTCCAGCCTAGGCACGCTTAACTGGAGACAGTCCTTGAGAGGGAACTGGGAGAAGGAAAGGAAGGGATTCCTGGGCCCACTGTGAGGTGTGCCTGGGCCACTCCCAAAGGAGGTGCCCAGGGGATCTGTTCTCTTCAGTTGGGTCAGGTTCTAACCTCTCACATTTAACCAGAACTGTCCCCAGGTAGGAAGCCACTCCCTGGGGAAGGGGGCCATCCCAGTAAAACTAGCAGCTGCTGGGGGAGAGGAATTACCCAGGGAGACGGGCAAAGGATCCAGAGAGGAACCAAGTCTGAAAGGGAAAGGGGCCCTACAAGCAAAAGAGGGGGAAAGAGATGTAAAAAACAGAGTGTCCATAACTTTCACCCTGCTTTTTAAAGCAGCAGATTTTACACTGGGGAAGAAGAAGAACTGGGAGTGGGGGAAGACTCACAAAAAACAGTTGATGTTTTATTTATTGGCAATTCAGGGAATCTGAAATAGGCATTTATCTGAAGATGCCAGGAACCTGGCCTTACACTGCTGGTCATTCTGGAGAAGAAACCTGCCAACCAAGGCTTGTCTCCACACTCTGCTCTTTACAAAGGAATTCCCGGTGAGGAGAACAGCTTCTCTCTGCTTTAACTTCTCCTCCTTCAGGCAGACCTCCTGGCTTAGACCAGCCAGCATTGCCCCACCTGCCCTCCTTGGGAAGCACTATACTCTGAGGAAGGAGGAAGCAGGACTTCCCTTATCCCAGCAGCCTTCAGATATGATCCAAAAAGAAGTAAGTGTGTGGGATGAAGGGGATGGTGTTCAGAGGTCCCCTCTAAACTGGGTAGGAGTTGGCAGGCACTAGAGAGGGTGCTTCCATCACCCTCCTACTTTCTCCAGTTAAGGGAAGAGGTGGGGGAAAATGGAATTAGCCTCCAGTTTCGTGAGTCCCGGGACCTGCCACTTCACCGTCACTGCAGTCTGAGCACTCCTTGGAGGAACGTGCGGGCTGGAACCTCTCCCTCTCCCAGACCAGGGAAAATGGGCAGGAGGTGGGGCAGCACACAGAGCACAGACAAAAGGTTCGGCAGAGCCCTCCTCTCTCAGGAGCTCAGGTCCCTGGGCTGAGCCCGGCTCCCCATTCGGCCACGCCGAGTGACCTTCTCGCTAGAAACGCCCCCTTCCCGCGGGGCCCAGGATGGTCTTTTAATAGGTGCCCACGTCTCACTCCCGGCACCCTGACAAGGAACGCCCCTCCCACCCCTCACCGCAAACACCCACGACGCCTTCCTCCAGCCCCTTTCTATTGTCTTCAAAGAGATAAGTGGCTCCCACCCAACACACCCAAATGCACATCCCTTTCTCGCGCTCCCATTTCTCCGAGCCCTAAGGGCCGAGAAGCGAGCGCAGGGTCGAAAGAGGGGCGCGAGGGAGTAAAACCCGCGAGAACTTGGCATCGCAGACCCACCGTGTCCACCTCGCAAGGATGCCGGTGACCTGTAGATTGCAATAGGCACTGAATGCTGCTTGCTGCTGCCATGGAAATGGTGGATGTGGTGCGCTCCCAAACTGGACGCCCCCCATGCCATTCCTAGGAGGCCGCTGAGGGTGAGCGGGACTATCCAGAGCAGGGCGAGGCGCCCCCCTGCGCCGCCGCCACCACTGCCGCCGCCGCCGCCGCCCCCGGGCGAGCCCAGCTCGGCGCCGCACCGGAGCATCCTCTGGTACATGGCTGGGCGCCCGCCGAGGGGCAACCGCCGCGGGAGGCAAAGTTTGGGGCGCGGTGAGGGGAGAGGGCGCCGGGGAACAGCGGGCGGCTCAGGGTGGGCTGCGGGCTGGCCGCCTCACCGCGTCAGGGCACCCATCCTCTCCCTCGTTCGGACAGTCTTCTCGGGGTCCTGGAGTCCGCCGTGCCTCGCACCCCAAAGAATCCGAAACATAGCCGAGGTGAATGCAGCTGATGGGGGCTTGTCCGAAAAGGCAGCCCCGGGGAAGAGCAAGCACGGAGCGGGCGGCTGCTCCCAGATTTCCGGGGCTCCAGGTTCTCGAGAGATACTCCCAAAGAGTTTCGGGCGAGAGTGCGTGCCGGGGGGTGGGGAGCGGGGAAATGGTTTAAAGCTCCTCCCGGAGGGTCCTCACTTCTACATGACAGCCATCCACCGCGAATCCACTAGGTAAATCCATTTAGCATTGTGTGGGGGGACTGGGGAGGCCACTTCGCCGGCCCAACCTCCTTTCAACGGAGAAGCAGACCCCATGGACTCGAGGCGCCCCGTCCCTCCATTCAGCCCGGGCCGGCTCGCCCGCTTGCGCCAGCCTCCCCCGGGCAGCGCGCGGAGCAGCGGCGCGCATCGCCTGCTCCCGAGGCAATCTCCGCGTCTGCCGCCTCCTGACACTTACGCCCGGCGAGGGGTTCAGAGGGAAGAGTGCCACCCTTATGAAGGAAGCGGGGATCGAACGGGGGAAAAAGAGCTGGGGAAAAGCAGAAGCACACAAAGGAGGGAAGGGGGGGGAAGAAAAGGAAAAAGAAAAAAAGAAAAGAAAAGAAAAGAAGAACCACACACGCTGGCGAAGCGAGGGGCTCTATGCAAATCTGCAGTCTCCAAACAGCAAATCACTGAAGCTCGGATGCAATGCAGAGGACGAGCCTATGTAACGAGGGAGGCTGGTCTAGCTTCCCACAGAAATCGCCCTGCTTTGCCTCTCTCAAGCATTCTCCACACATCAAAGGGACACGTGTACAGCGATGCGGGGAACACCTAAAAAAGCAACGCTCCCTCCTCTGCCAGGTGATCCCTCCGTCTGAATTACAACGGCAAACGGCACCCTTCCCCTACCCCTATGGTTTAGATGTAACCAGTGTCTTGAGAGCTCTTAAAAGGGAAAGAGTTCCGCTCTTTTTATTGGACCAAACTTGTTCTGCCAGGTGTTCAAACCCAATCTCCTAAATATGGCTTGACACCATCTACTCAAGCATCAGTTTTGATGATCTGTTAATTACACAGATTACTCATAACAAAGAGCCCTCGTTCCCACTACAGTATCATATCTCACATAAGGCAGTAGAAGTGCAGGGAATCAAAATACACAAGAAAAAGAATGAGTGAATTTGGCAGCTGAGGAAAAGACAGAAAGAGGAAAAAAAGGAAAAAATGAGACAGGTGAGAAAGAGGACAGCAGAAGACAGAAACAGGATGAATGAGACTGCTTGTGTTTTGGTCAAACATTTTAGGAATCTTTAAGAACCCCCAAGATCTCTATAGAAGCCCAGCTATGATGATGTCTTATAAGGGTGGAGTTCTGCCTTTCTCTTACCATGTTTCATAAGGAAAATAACATCAGGAAATTTAAATCTAGTGCCCCCAAAGAAGAGGGGACATTATATTCTACCGGTGAAATGAAGGGAAAAAAAAATATATATATATATATATATATATATATATATTTTTTTTTTTTTTGCGGTACGCGGGGCTCTCACTGTTATGGCCTCTCCCGTTGCGGAGCACAGGCTCCGGATGCGCAGGCTCAGCGGCCATGGCTCAGGGGCCCAGCCGCTCCGCGGCATGTGGGATCTTCCCGGACCGGGGTGCGAACCTGCATCCCCTGCATCGGCAGGCGGACCCTCAACCACTGCGCCACCAGGGAAGCCCCGAAATGAAGAATATTAAACTGAAAGCCACGTGTCCTGGAAAAAGACCAGCAAAGCCAACACACAACTAAGAGTAAAAGTCTAGCACGGCAAGTAGCTTAGCAAGGAGGACCACAGTCACTGGAGGCTAGCACACGGGATTTGGAACTGTGATTAAAACAGTTCCCTGATTTCTAAAAGATGATACTATGACCTGACTAGTGGCTGGACATTTTTTGTTTTTACTCCTACTTAAAGACAAAGGAGAACAACTCTGACTAGGTACTACTTCTCACAGGCTCCTGTCTATATAATCCTTTATATCAACAAATACAAAGTCATGTCCTGAAAAAGTAGTTCTAGAAGGATTTGATACAAACCAGCCACTCACCAAAGTGGTCATTTAGACTTACATATTGCTTCCTAGTTCATTCAGAGAGTCAACCTGGGACTCTGATGGTCACTATGTTACCAGTGTCCAAGGGCCACCAAACCAAATTTGTAGCAATCCAACACCTCACATCCTTGGCAAAAGTTTAGGTTATTCTACTAAAAATTTAATACTTCAGTAGTTCCCTAATTGAGACAGCTTAGGCATGCTAGAGAAGGTGCTTTTATCTACTTAAAGACGCCTTGTCTCCCTCCCACAACTGCTCAAAGACCAACAGAACGCAAATCCTGCACTTGCCACTGTGGTCTGTTCCCGTCCTTATCCCCAGGCCACTTCCTCCTCATTTTGTTATTTTCTAGCATGTGGATTTTAATTCATTAGTAGATTTTAATTCATTAGACAGCTAGGGAAGCCCTAGCTGTCGTGTTTTCAGGCAGATGTCTAAGGCACCTTTGCAGTACCTAGGAGTTTCTTGGGTGGATTCTGTGATACTGATGCTGCAATATTTGTTATAAATGGCTGTTATGGTGGAACAAGGAGCAAATTCTCTGTCTAGAGAGTGGAGAAAAGTCCTGTGAGCAGACTCATGCCTAATCTGTATGAAGCAAATAAAGCTTGCACTTACTCTTCATGTCTCTTCAGCTGGTCAGTTCTTTGGCTGGAAGTGTATTATCTAAGGAAACTGAGGGGACTTCCCTGGTGGCACAGTGGTTAAGAATCCGCCTGCCAATTCAGGGGACACGGGTTCGATCCCTAGTCCCGCTAGATCCCACATGCCGCGGAGCAACAAAGCCCGTGCGCCACAACTACTGAGCCTGCGCTCTAGAGCCCGTGAGCCACAACTCCTGAAGCCCGTGCACCGAGAGCCTGTGCTCCGCAACAAGAGAAGCCATCGCAATGAGACCCCGCACCGCAACAAAGAGTAGCACCCACTAGCTGCAACTTGAGAAAGGCCCAGGCGTAGCAACGAAGACCCAATGCAGCCAAAAATAAATAAATTTATTAACAATAAAATAAAATAAAGGAAACTGAGGCAGCACTGACAAATTGTTCTCAGGTGAGTAAAAAACTGGCTGGAGCAGACATGGTGCTCGGCTGCTTGTAATTTACTCTTAAAGACTGCAGCATGGACAATGCGATATGAATGTGTATTAGTGCGGTTCTGTGTCTCAGGAGGTTAGTTGCTTTCATCAGGAATGTATGCTCCAACAGCTCAGCCAGAATTACAGAAGTCAGAGGTAACTTTTGGAAGTCTTGAGTTACCATCATCTCCAATCATGATGTGGCTTTGTTCATTAATTATAATGTATGTTGGAAACCGATTATCATCGGTGACATAAATGGCCTGTCAGTTGGTTAATGGAGGTTAGGGGTGGGTTCTTTTTGGTGAAATCATTAACATTCAAGATATGTGGACTGGCCAAACTTTTTGTAAACATGCTTTGCTTCTATTTGAATAGAGTATATGAATCTATAAGGCCTTTCACCCTTTACTATAAGGAATGGTGTCATAATATTAATAATAATAAGAACTAATACATTCATAACTGGCACAACTCTGAGAGCTCATTTAATCATCACAAAACCATATGAAGTGGGTGCTATCATTGATCCCTAACAAACCTTAGTCACCTAATTCTGACAGATGATGATCTGGATGCTGCCACTGAAATATTGCCATATTTGCTTTAAGAAAACCTATTTGCAAGATATTTTGGGGTACCTAAAAGAACCAAGAGCTGGAACTTCATCAAGCTTCCAGAACATGCTGTAAGATTTTGTTCCTACTTATTAATAAGTGTCTGCTCCTGTAGCAGAAGTTGGTCTGCATCTTAAACCCACTAGGAGCTGTGGAAACGCTTGGAAGAGTGGTTTACCCTCCCCTGCCTCTGACCACTGTGGGTACCGAGCTCCACCAAGAGAATCTAATAGCTGTGCATAGGGAGTTATTCTAGATGCATTCATAGCTGATGATTAATAATGAACGAGAAGGCAGGTAGCCTACGTCAGACAACCATGCAAGAAATGGGAGATGGGCTTGAAAGCTGAGGGGACAAAAGAAAGGGAATGGAAGGAGAAAGAGAAAAAGAGTGTGTAGAAGGGGGAGTGTACACAGAAATGGAAAAGCACAGGTTATTTCAAACTATTTTTTCATATTCCTAAAATCACCCTTCTGTCTCAAGAAACAAAATGGTTGTCAGGTAGACACTTTCAACCTTTTCGTGTTTTTCTTAAAACTTAATTGGAAATTGTTACAGCTCAGTATTAAGCTTTTAAAATAGAAAAGTAGACAATAAAACGGCAGAGATGAAGTATATTAAAACCTACAGGCAGTACCAATCTTTTAAAAATTAAAAACAAGCAGAGTGTCAGTCATGCATTTTGCATTTCTACTGATGTCAGCACAAGAAAAGGCAAAGAGACCCCACATATCCATCTACCTGCATTTCTGAGTTGGGATTGAGAGAGAGTAAAGACAGAGAGGCTCAGGAGAGGATACTGTCTGTGAAGTTGCAAAGACAAACCTCTGATCCCATTACCTTTCTGGGTTATTGCAGGTCCCTAAAGGTGTTCTGAGAAAAGATCAGAATAGATCAGAAGAGTAAGGACACTGAGAGAAAGGAAGGAAGGAAGTGAGGGAGGAAGGGAGGGGAGGAAGGAAGGAAGGAAGGAGAAAGAAAGAAAGAAAGAAAGAAGGAAAGAAAGAAAGAAAGAAAGAAAGAAAGAAAGAAAGAAAGAAAGAA